CACTCTACATCCTGGCACCAGACAAACTCCACACTACATCCTGGCACCAGACAACCTCCACTCTACATCCTGGCACCAGACAAACTCCACTCTACATCCTGGCACCAGACAAACTCCACTCTACATCCTGGCAGCAGACAAACTCCACTCTACATCCTGGCACCAGACAAACTCCACTCTACATCCTTCCACCAGACAAACTCCACTCTACATCCTGGCACCAGACAAACTCCACTCTACATCCTGGCACCAGACAAACTCCACTCTACATCCTGGTACCAGACAAACTCCACTCTACATCCTGACACCAGACAAACTCCACTCTACATCCTGGCAGCAGACAAACTCCACTCTACATCCTGGCACCAGACAAACTCCACACTACATCCTGGCACCAGACAACCTCCACTCTACATCCTGGCACCAGACAAACTCCACTCTACATCCTGGCACCAGACAAACCCTGTAATCGCGAAATTTGTATGGGATAAGGGTAAAAGGTAAGGTAAAGGTAGGCTCGTTCTTTTTTTACCTTTTATCTTTTACCTTACCTGCTAAAGGGTAAAAGGTAGGGTAGCACGATTGTATTGTGGTAAGGTAAAATGTAGTGTAAAGTTTCTCTTGTTTTTTTTACCGTTTAACTTTTACCTTACCTTGCCGATGCCTAGACACGTTTGACAACTCTTGAAATTGTTCTAAAGCTCCATGAATAGTTTAGCTTAACGTTTATGGGAATTTTAATTTTAAGTTTCGAGAGATGTCATGACAATTTAATCTGAGTAATAGTTTCCTGTCCTCCAACACAATTTTGTCACACGATAAATTAAAGCGAGGAGATTTGCCCATTGTGCTTTCAAGCAAATTACAGTAAGCCATGTTCGGAGCAGTTGGGAAAACAGCCATCAAGCTCAGCGTTTTCAACTGAACTGACCCACACGTGACCTGTAATTAAAAGCCAATGACAGAGCAATGCCCAATGGGCATTGTCGACTGCAAAGGCCAATCGCTCATCACTCCGTTCAACGGATTACATTTCAAAACTTTCCTGTACAAACGTGGGCATGGGTAGTGCACGTGATGCCATATAAGTGCGTGGGAAAAAAAAACTACAACCCTGCCGTATCCCCGCTGCGATATTCTAGTTTTGTAAGGCAAATATGGAAAAGAAAACACGCAGCCTAAGTTATTATCTGCCCAAGTTGTGCTGCAGCAGAGCACGTGGCTCGGAATTAGAAGGTTGCAAATACAAATTTGAGGGGTGGGAAATCGACAGTGGCTGTCCTAGAAAGAGACTGGCCCCTACCATGAATGTGGAATATTCCAACCGATGGCTTTGGGCTGCCACGAGTGATGAGTCCGGCTCGGTGCTCGTTTCAGCATGAATAGAAAGTGGATACATTTAAAATGAAGTAAATTTGTAAAAGTGACGTTTTCGTTAACGCTGGCAGTGTTTGATTATTTTTGTGCTATAAATGTCCAAATGATGGGCAACTTAATTGAGCTATCATTTGTGGCCAGGTCGCTTCTGAAAAAGAAGTGAATACCTCAGTGAGTTTTGCCTGGTAGGATGGGGATGGTTTAGATTTATTTGTACTAGAATTTCGTCGGCCCACGGCCGCCTTATTCTAGCTCCTGCCTACAAAAGAAACGTGGATTCTATTGTATGTAGGGTGTGTAGGCATAAATGCCTACAAAAAAGCAATTTGGGGGGGGTCGACAATTGTTGTAAAACTTTTAAATCAACTTTTAACCGCCATATCTGGGGGTCCATTTTCTATACATTTCATTCAGGCCTTCTGAAAGGCTCTTATAATGTAGTTGACGGACAAACGGAACGCCGGGATATTACAATAGATGTGATTTGAAGCTTTAGTGACTGCAGGAATCCATACTCTTTGGTTCTTTCATGAGAGATTCGTTCATGAGGCGATCCACATATACAAACACAGAGACAATTTTAACCGAGAAGATGGATTCTGGCTCAGCAATCATTGGAAGGACGTAATAAACCATTTCGATACACATTAGGGTGTGTAGAATAATACATAGTGTGATATTAAATGTATAAGATATAGGTTGGTTTACAGCAATACAGTATATAATTTAATGTTGGGTTTATCTATGGCAGTATATAGTACGGTATATGCTCGTGTGATGTAAGAGAATAAGGTTTAGATGGAAGCATATTATAGAATTTTTACGAGGTAAAATTGTAATGTATTACTTGCTGTTAGTAACTCAGCTTATTATAGAGTATAGTAAGTATACTGATGGTGCGATGCAGTTTATACTTTAGTTTTTTATGTAGTTTATACTTTAGTTTTCTACGTGGTTGTTGAGTAACTGCAGCTACATATCATTAACATTCCTTTCCTTTGTTACTGCTAATCCCTGCACCCCCCTTGGTTGCTGCTGATCCTGCATAATGCATGGGCATAATATGACTTTGACACCCCCCCGCCCAACGCCTACGCATTTCCCATGAATATGCTAAATCCCTCTTCACATGCACATTCTTTTTGTTAAGGCGCTCTTCAACCCCCAATGCAGCTTATATATAAGCTCCTAGTTTGGTAGTGTCTCATTCTTCACCTGAAGACGGCTGCTTGCGTTGTAGCCGAAACGTCGTGAGAATTGTTTTATTATGTTTTATTTTTATTATTTTATTACTTCCCTTCTACGTGACTTTACCGAAAGAAACAAGAAGAAAAATCTTTCGGTAAAGTTACGTAGTTAGAAATAAAATCAAACAAAAACATTGCTGAAGTGGGCGAGAGAGCTGCTCTCTCGCTTCAGCAATTTTTTTTCTTGCTGTGGTTGTCCCACCTGATGAAGATTGCTTGTGTTGCAATCGAAACGTCGTGATTTGTTTTATTTTATTTCTAACTACGTGACTTTACAGAAAGAACCAAAGAGTATGAATATATGTGATGTTTACCTTGTATCTTGCACCACTATCATGTTTTTGTATTGTTTGTTGTTGTAACATTCTCACCCGTCCCTACTGACATCTATGATAAACAGCTTCATAGCTCCGCCAGTATACATACAGATTCTGCTTCCGAGTGTGCTTTTTCTCCGCGTGTAAATTTGTCAAAGAGCAATGCATTTCTCATGAGGGTATGGGGTGTGAGACATCTTCTCCCCCTCCCCCAGCGTTGCCTCGGGGTTTACAATGGGATAAGCATGGATTGCGCGTGTTATGCAATTATGTATGTTGAGCTTCTTTCTGAACGTACGTAGCCAACCGTGCTAATTGGAGGTTGGCTTTGAAGTCAACAATTTTTTGGGAGGGTATTTTGGCGAGGCTGACATTGAAGGCGATGCAGTGGAGGGCTCTTTTACACGCTTTCTATTAACTCACTGTCTGTTGTCGTATCCTCAAATCTCAGTAACGCAATTTTAACCCACTTACCAATGTGGTATCGACTGCAAACTTGCTATACTTATGTCATACTGATGACAATACTGTATTATATCATTAAAAATTAAAAATAAATATTTTTTAACATTCATTTTTATATGTTATGTTTCGGCTTGGGTCTAATTGTCCATGCTCAACTGACGTTGGCTGTAAATCACCACGGCCACTTACGTTGTGGCAAGCTTTGTGGCCACTTCCTGGAGTCGTGGAGTTTTGCCATTACGAGTAGGGTACATTTCATTAAAGCGTGTTTAAAAAATAAAGTATTTTTTAATATTACTTATTCCCACTTCTGTCTGTTAGAGACCGAGTATGAATCATCAGTAACCTCTTGGCCCTCCGTGTTATGCCATCTGCGTGCTTGTTTCCATCCGCCATCCTCGTTGCTGTCCACTGTGCAGACTCCACATAAGTTAAAGTTGCCACGTTGTTCATTTGCTGGCAACATTTTTCTCAAAACTGCTCTCTTGAATGGGATTGGGGTGGGGGAAACCCGCTCTGCAGCGTGATCAACAAAACAATTGAAATGGCTCCCTTAACGAACCTGGCCAATAGCATTCACCGCACAAACAATTAACCAATATGCTCAATGGGAAAATAAAGCCAAACAAGGTACCCACAATAATTTACACTGTACAATAAATATATATATTTAAATTTTATTTTAAATACATTTTCTAGTCATATATACGTGTACACCCGTCGAGAGAATACATGAATATTCGGGATGACTTTCAGATTCAACAATTTTGGGATTTCAGATATATTTAACGACAATTAAGCTCTTTTTATCTCTCTCTCACATCTTTACATAATTATTTTACTCGTCTTCGTGCTGACAAAAGCGATGCCATGTGCGATACTACGACGTGACACCACTTTTGGTGCAGAAAGCGTGAAGGTCATCACTTGCCATCAAATTTTCTATGCGGGGGGTGAGAATCGGATCCAGGCCCATTTTTTGTTATGCACCAATATCGCTAATATAACATTTGCATAAAAAAGCATGTCTTTAAGAACCAAAACGTGTTCGGGAGCGTAATTGTAAATTACAATAGTTACATAACACATCGTTTAATTCTACTCGTCATTAAGCACACATTTAAACATAATTTACACCGATATAATTACATTTCGCTCGTGTGTGACGAACACGACATGAGTGATTTTTTTTGGAACAGATGCTAGTCTTAATAAAAGTCCCACACTCATAAAAAATGTGAGCTTGGCAGAAGGACTGCTATGGGGTGAGCCACAGTGTTATATTGCACTGGACGTGCAAGACACTGCTTGCTCTCTGTTGACACCAGACCAGGGAGTATTTTTTTCAGTTGAAACACATTCCTGCGGAGGGAGCTGGTAGGAACGTTGGGTTGTTCGGTCAATGGCCAGGGTCAACGGCGGCGTGGTGTATTCCGCAAATATGCCCGACTGTGAGGGCGGGCACAAGCCGGCGTGAGTAGGCTAAACGTTGAGTTTTATAAGGGCACCACGGGGTGACCAGTCCCGTCCCACCCAGCCCCACCCCACCCTCCCCACCCTCCCCACCCAGCCCCTCCCCACCCAGCCCCTCCTTGCACGACGGACGGACGGACACAATAATCCCCTGTGGGCTGGTGTAACCAGGAGGTTCCTACCAGTAAAATCTACATTTAGAAACTTCTTCATCAGTGATGGAAGAAAGCAATCGCCTGGAAATCATTTGTGGTTCTTGCCCCAACAATGGATGTCGTAGGAACATGGCACCGAATCGGCATACATTTTAATCTGCCACAATTGTGGGTAAGATATATGAATTCAAATGACATACATTTGATCGAATAATGTCTTAGCGTATGTTTGAATTGGCCATAAATTAGCTTCATACAAGTGTTGGATTATACACATTTATACTTAAATGATGATAGCCGACAATGTGACGGGAGTTTGCAAGTTGCAACACACCGTCAGAATGTTGTGTTTTAACAAGTCATTCAGGGATCGACTCTGTTTAATATTATTACGGGGTCAATGACATAAGTGCCATGATTGTCAAGAGACTGGCTGTCTTTTGAAAAGAAGTTGTCTTTTGAAAAGAAGTTGTCTTTTGAAAAGAAGTAGTCTTTTGCAATAGAAATTTGGAATTTCCACCATCAACTTTGTTGGACGGGGGTTAGTAACGTCCACCCCCAGAGCCGCATGTGCCTCTTTAAGGACTGCCGCTGCGTGGCGTCATTTATTAAGGACCCACCATCTCGTATTCACCACACCAAGGCCGTAATTATAATATATTTTGTGGGGGGACACATCCCCCCCGATATTCAAAGATGCTCAAAATGTCCCCCCCCCCCAATATATAGCTATAAAATCGATTTCTGTTTATATGATTGTGGTTATGGTTGTACTTTATTAATCCCGAATTTCTGCCATTACATACAATGAAACAAGAAAAGGTAAAAATAAAAAAACAGCAATGTAATACAATACACTTATAGACATTGTAAAAAATAAAATAAAAGTCCATCCCATGTGTTAATTAATTTTTTTTATATTTTAGGCAGGAAATTCGTTTTAAAATCTAGATTTTTTTTCAGGGGGGGGGGGGACCCCCAGACCCCCTCGAAGATTTGGTCCCCTCCAATGTTGAGTCCATAGCTACGGCCTTGCACCACACGGTGCATTGCGACTCTTGAAATATTGAGGGGTTTCCCTCCGCCCCCACCAAATTCTAAATAAATTGCTCTTTCTGTTATTTTTGGTTGCCGACCGCTGGTGTTGGAGAATGAAGACGAGTCGTGCCCAACGTTAATTTAGCATGACGACTTCTTTGTTCCGAATTAATGCACAGCTTGTGTTTCACATAGTAACTCCCATCAATTCGCCAGACGATATCCGCACCTCCGATTCGCACGGTTGGATATGTACGGTGCGACAGAAGTTTAACATACATACGTCCATACAGACGAAATGGGTGAAGCACCATTACAATCATAAGGTAGTTAAGGAGCAAGGTTGTTCTACCCCTGGCACTCTGCACGCAGACAGAGCTGGCCAATCAGGCTGTGTGGGGAGCGGTAGTGTAGCAGTTTGCGAGCTGCTGCGCTACGAACCCGGCGACCCAAGTGACGATTATTTGAACCGGGCCTGGGCCTCACCTAGGTCGACTAAGCCTCAAATGAGTACCTGGTGCGGTGTGTAAATTAATCGTCACTGGGCCACCCACCCCCTCGTGTACCGTGCCGGCCTTCATAGGTGCTCGCTAACAGCACTTGCCTCAACAGTCTGTTAAGCCTATAAGGGGGATCTTTTTCAAAGATGTGGAATCATATATGAACACAAAGGAGCAAGTAAGATAAATAGCACACACGTTAAAACATATATAACGATGATGACAGTGAAGATAAATATACAATAAAAAAGATGGAATAACATTATAAACAATATATTAAAGATTAAAAAACGGTTACTAGTAATTCTTAGGTTTTATTTCTTCTCTTATTGTGTGTTTTTGCTTTATTTTGATGTCTGCTGTAATGTAAATTTTGAATGACATTATGGTAGCCTACATATGTCTATGAAATACCTTGTTTGTTTGCTTGTATTATCTCCATTTACGTGTATGGCCACCTTGACCAGGTCGAACGCATTAAGGAGCCCATGTAGGCTCAAGTAGAAAACAATATATCACTGACTGACCCTGATGTCACTTCTCAGAGTGATTACATGGCAGGGGTATAAGGGCATCGGAGCAGGAACGTCACATCATAGTTGTCTCCAATTGGTCCATCGACGAGGCTCGACGAGGCCACAACAAGCCATCACTACAGTTCATTGTTATCACCATTGACACTATATGGGGGGGGGGGTCAAAACCTCAAAGCAATGATAGACAATTACGATTGCCTGTAATCACTGTTGCTCTGTAAAAACCACAACACGTGTACTGTGCTTTACAACACCGATGTGGTTGCTTCAGGGCATAGTTTAAATAAAGTTTCCACCTGTCCTGGTTGTCCCAGGATCACCCTCTCTGTCGAGGTAACTGTCTTGGGAAATACGCAAGTCTTCCCCAGGGCATTAAAAGTCCAGCTTTTTGCCAGTTGCATAAGAGTAATAATACGCCACTCAAGACAAAGCATTGACATGTAGTTCTCCCGTCCTCTAGTATTTTAACATATTCTTCTTTCCATTGACATGTCCTGGATTTTTTTTGTTACGTAGTTGAGTACTTCAGGAAGTTGGCCACCCAAAGGTTTAAAACTAATTTTGACCGTTCGCAGCCCGCTTCCAGAAGGCGGCGGCGGCGGGGGGGGGGGTTCAGTAGGGCGTGAACAGCATGGACCGGTGAGAGCTGCGGATTGGCCCTGGGGCGGCACGCAACAGCGGCGGAGGAGCCGCTGCCGCCACGTGGAACGTCAGGGTCGAGGCTGGCGGAGGCGCGGCGCCCAGAGCCCCGTGCAGGCCCAGTGGATCCCTCACGCCCGCGAGGGACGTCGGCAGAAATCCTGGAGGCAGTTTTCCCTGCAAGGAAATGGAGGGGGAGGGGGGGGGGTTGTGCAATAAAAGTGCCGAATATTCTCAATGTATGTGTGTATATATAAACTCGAGGTCCTCTACTAGACGGAGCTCAAAAGAGCAGCTCTGCTGGAGGGTATTTGGCCTACTCTTCCATCCTAGCCAGACATCTTGGAAGAGGTACAAGTACCCACACTTTTTAAACTAAACTATAAAACATGTTTTTACTTTAGCAGGTAAAGCCCACGGAGCTATATAGCTCTTTTTTAGATGCAACATGGCCACAAATGATAGCTCAACGAAGTGGCTTATCACGTGGAAATGTACAGCAGCCAAATACAGTATTGTCAACTGCATGTTTTTAAAATCTGGAGGGAAAAACCGGATGACCCGGAGAAAAATCCAAGCGAACACAGGGAGAACGTGCAGACTCCAAATATACAGCAGGCATCAGGGTCGGGATCTTTCCTCCAAAACTTGTGACCTGTCGATCGACTCGTGTACTCATTTATACTTCTGGGTTTACCAAGGCGAAGGGAGTTGAATGCATGGCGTCAGTTGTATAATTGGGTAGAGGATTGCTTCTGCCGTTTCGCAGCTCAATAAAGAGACTTTAGCCTCTTGAGGGCTCTTGTCAGGAAAGTTGAACAGCACGAGAACATTTTAATTGGTCAGCCAGCCGATGAATGGCAATCATTTTAAAACGCAATTATATACTGAAGTTAAAATTATCAAGATGCAATCATGGCCGAAGCTGTTGATGTGGTTAACATTGTAATAATATTAAATGCAACAGATTAATCATTGGGGGTTATTATTTTTTTACAAATTTCAAATGACACGTTAAATTACACACATTCAATTTTGCGCACTACAAGACATTGAATTCGGCAAGAGCCACATACTTTCCTCTCATTGTTCCTCATTAATGCTAGTATATATTAGGAAGTGTATAATGATGAACAAGCCGTACTGTGGTTTTGTTCTGTTCTATGTATAGAAAATGTTGGTGGACTTACCCCCACTGAGCTGGAATGTCCTTGAATCTTGTTGTAAGGAGAGAATTTTGGCTTTATGGGCTTGCCTGCTATTCGGTCTTTGTGTCTTCGGCTTGTAATATGCTTTGCACAGACACATTAAACGTATTTCCTTTGAGCGTTCACATCAAAAGGCTCATATTTATTCGACTAAAAACACGTACAATGTTTTGATCGTAAAGATAATATTTTTTAAACGTCTTAACTCCACAACACGTAGTTCAGTCATGTACACGCTTTATTTGGGAGCGATAGGGAAATGTCCGGTGATAACCTTATTGTTTCCAGTTTTCTGTGGAAGATGGATTATGATGAGAAATATAGGAATACACTATAGATTAAAAACTACACGATAGACAATGATTTCCTTAAAACAGTGTTTAACTGTACAATCTCGCTACGTGCTGAGATGTAACATCCTAATCTCAAGTTACAAGATTACAAAAACACCTCTTCAGTTAAAGAGTCTGCACTGCGTATCTGCCAGGTTTGACACCCAACCTTATGAAGTGAAAATGGAGTTATAGAAAAAAAGTAAATGTGAACGTTATGGCGGTACCCCAGGGTTCCATAGAATCCCGGCTCTTACAATGTCCGTGATGCAGTCATTTTTAGTCTGTTGATAGTCGGCGATGCGGCAATCGACTCATCTCGACGAGCTGTACACGAGGCACCACTACGGTGACACGTACGAGCGTTCAGGGTTTCAGCGCAATCGTCCTCGCTGCGTTTCGACATCGCAGAGTGGCACCGATTTCGGATTTATTGGTACCCCAGTCGCGGAGTTAAGTACACACCTGGAAAAAATAGTGTCCCAGAAATGAAATATTTCATTGCCTCGGCCAGTTTGTATTATTTGGTACCCAGGGGTACCGCCATAAGGATCATGTGATGTTTCCTCTTCGATTAAATTTATTTATTATTAAAACAAAGGTCGCTCTATGTACCCATTCTCAAATGAGCCATTGGTGGTTTCTCATATAACAATCACGATCTGGATTCAATCGTGGAAAATGCAGTCCTATTGCAGGGACCAGTCGCCTCTCCATTGGATAATAGGTCCGACAAAGTGGTAGAGAATTAACTTTATTGACCACACCTGAAGGATTCTGGGCTTAGTCGACCCTTGACCAGAATGTGAACTTGCAACGTCAGAATGGGTGCCCTAGCACAGAGTCAACCTACTAACTTTTTTGAATGGTGTCCTAGGATCAATAAGTTTGCCTTAATAGGAGAAACATACATAATTAGCAACATTTCGGGCCCATGGCTCTTCTTCGTACAACAATACAACGTTTGAGTTTGACAGCTAACGAGGTTCACGTCAGTGAGTTAAGTCACACAAAAAGAAAACACTTTTGAAAAACAATCATTGGATGTGGGCTAATGGAGGAAACGAAGAGCACACAAACCATCTGACGAGTGAACGTTGAGCGACTGACCTGTTTGAGCTGCGTCTCCGAGTTGACGTGGACATCGCAGATCTCGCAGTAGAAGGTTTTATCCTGGAGGCCTGAGCCCTTCGGAGTGTTGTCCTGTGCGGAGGAGGCGGGCCGAGAGCCCAGCCTGGGGAAAGCCTTGATGGCACCCCCGCCATTACGAGCCTCCATCATCATCTTGTGCTTAGAACCTAACGTGAACAATAAGGACATGATTGTTTTTGGCTAATGTGATGCAGTTCATCTAAAATATTCAATCGAAAATAATGACCTGCTCATGATTATTATTAACGTCATCAGCTCATGATTATTGATGATGGGGTTACCCAATGTGGAGTGACGTCACCTACTAATGATAATTAATTAGGGGGGTGCATGTGGAGTGACGTCACCTACTAATGATAATTAAAAAGGGGGGTGCATGTGGAGTGACGTCACGCGCGGAACACACATTCTTGGTTGTGGGCTCACATGAAATAGATTTTTCCAAGACGAAGATACTATGCAAACCCACTGGCTATCATCAAAATTTGTCCACGAAGCCATCCAGATATATAAACACAGACAAAACTTCAACCGGGAAGATGGGTACAAATTGAGCAATCATTGGAAGGACTTGATTAACCAGGTAAAGTCTTAACCTACTGTGATGTTTCCATCCTTCCTGCCGATGTTAGCTGACTCTTTGAGTTACATTACTAGGTTGGATGTCTGTATTGACAGGCTGGGTGTCCTACTCGATCTGCCACGGATGTATCATTGACATGCTAATCTCTCAATACAATGGCCACTTCCACAGCCTTAGGGAGACCATCTCTAGCCCCGCCCTCTTACCCTGAGGGGACTCCCATCTCAGGCCTAGCTTTCTCTCTCTCTCACCTGAAGACGATTGCTTGTGTTGCGATCGAAACGTCGTGATCTATTATTTTTCTATCTACGTGATTTTACCGAAAGACCCAAAGAATATAATATTAGTAATAATAAAAATACAAAATTGGCATGAACTGCCTGTTTTTTTTTGTTCAAGGCTGATACGCACGTTTTGAATTTAGAGCAGTTTTGCCAAAGTTTCTCTAACCAAATAGGCACCCGTGGGCTGAGAAGGCACATAGCGTCATTATAGCAGCCTGTGTGGCATCGCCAAGAGCCCACTGGGTGGGCTACGGTGCAGTGGGCAGTGTAGTCGAGGGTAAACCTGGGTACACATACTTTTACACCCACTTCTCACTTGGGTCGAGAACAAGAGCATAGAACTCACCCGCTCCGTTGCTTACAACGACATCGTTTCTTACGATGGATTTAACACACCTCAAGCACAATCGCCGCACGTGAGGCTGGACCACTTAACACCCTATGAACGTGAATGATGGCATCGTCCGGATCCATGAGACACACAATTATTTCTGTTGTTGATCCTATTATTCTTGCTTCTGTTGTTTTAGTCTTCACGTCTCTCCTCGGATTAGCTTTCTTGATGGTTTCTGTATCCATCTGTTGGCGGACCTCTGCTTCTGTCTGTTCCACCTCTACTTTGTTATCTCTGTGCATTCTCTATCCTTGTACTGGACTGCTATCAGAGATAACAGAGAGAATAAAACAGCAGTCTAGCTCCACCACTCTAATAAAGAATTATCGAGATCATCATCAGCAGTCATGATCTATCCACTGCTGAATGATGGCCTCCACAAGCTGTGGCCATCGCATGGTCTTGTGATGTAACAATCAATCTCGTTCCTGCACACGAGTTTATTTCATTGTTTCATCTCCTCTCAGGCACGTCCCCACATCACTGGTTTTAGCCAACAGCCATCAGCCCGATGCATTCTGCCCAAGCCCGCTCGTCTTAAATCAATACGATGTCTAATCACGATTGTTTCTTATCGATGCGTTTTATCCTCGTGTCTTTCAGTGCAATTCCAAACATGCACCTGTCCGTGTTACTTTGCACACCAATTCCGATTTTGTTCCATGTTCATGATTTGTAAAATAATAATATACCCTTGAAGGTTTCCTTTTGTTACTGCATCTCCCACCTGGTGTCTAGTGGCCGGTGCTGTTTGACTCGTGTGACGTTGCCACTCTCTCTGGGCGATGTCCAGAGAGAGTGGCAGTGACTGGTGATCACGAAGGTGATGAATGATGACCGTTATACCCTTCACCAATTATCACGGAGAGCCTTGGCGTTAGCGGTGATGGCAATGGATGATGACAAAGAACAATGTAATGGAGCAGGGATGATGGTTATCACACATTTTTATCGTCATCTTCATCGGTCAGCCATCATTATTTATATTATCCGTGGATGGCCGGATTAATATAACACCTCATTGTATGTGCTCTTCCTATCCTTTAGTAATCCGGGAACAATCCCAGATTGCCCAGGCCTTTCGGACATTTGGAGCTACAGATCAGGCCACTTCTATCGTACGGATTGCCGAGCCATCATAAACCAATGTCAATAAGTTTTAAATCCAGTTGACAGCTTCATGTACGAGCAAACATACTTGCAAAGGCGACTGATAACAATCGTTGTGCTGCACCTAACACAAACATTGAAACACCCGGCGTCCTCAAGCACCCGCTCGCTAAAGGCATCATTTCGGCATGGGTGCGCGTGTCTTTCCCGAGCGTCTCCACCTTTGTTGTGGGCATCGAGCTGCGACTGGGAGTTGACGGCCACCTTGCACAGCGAGCAGTAGAGGAGCCGCTTTGCGCGCTCTTCCTCCGACTCCCCGTCGTGGCCCTGGCCGTTGACTGCGCTGGTGGCCGCTCTCTCTCTCCGCTGAGCCGCTCTGGGTGGAAACTCGCCTGGACCGGTGTCCTTGTCCACGGTGCCGTCGCTGGAGCTGCGACGTGGAGGTCAAAAGAAAATGTGCTTCTCAGTGTCAGTCAATTAAAATATGTATCCGTGCTCATATGTTGTTCATCTCGATCGGTGTCCATGCGGTATCTGTGGACTTTCAATATTCTGATGGAAGAGGCCAACCTATCGGACAACCTCTGTTAGCAATTAATGGGCAAATGCTGTGGATTAATTAATGTCCACTGGAGTTTCAATGTTTCTCGACTAATTTAATATTCTGGTGTGGCTGTGAATGTGTTTCCCTAACTTTTTGTTTGTTGGTTTGCTTCAAGGAACATTTCGTAACTAATGGTGTGTTAATTACAACAAGAAATAGAAAAAAGAGACCTTGCTATATGTTGGTACATTATTAGTATAAAGGGGAGGGCTCAACATAGCGTGTCCATGTACAACACAACAAAATGCAATTAGGATTAATAAAACATCTCAATACATGTGTAATAACAGCCATAGAGGGTTCACGTGGGGATTGGCTTGCCGGTCCTGCTTTGTAGCCATTAAGGGTTGAGACAGGGAGCATGGCCTCTGCGTCATCACGGCGTGTTAGCAGGGGTGAGTGGCCTGGCCATTCGGGGCCCCAGCTAATGGGGAGCCGGATCAGAGGCGTGGTCCCGGGATTGACAGGGAACCATCGAGAACGGTCAATGCTGTCTACGGAGGATTGGCTGGGGGGTACCACGTGACGAAGGGATTAAGAGAGAGAGAGATAACGATCGAGAGCAGACTTGGGAACGACAAGAGCAGGAGTCACGTGCCTACGGGGGCTCTGGGTGCCACGTGCGCGGTGGGGACTTGGTGTGAAGTCTGCCCGCTCTCTGTTGTCTGCCAGCAACGGAGAGTGTGTGAGTAAAGTGTAATTGTGGAAGTGGAAATAAAAAGGACCGATTCCGAAGCCGTCTCAGAAGGATTATTACACATGTATATCTAAAACAACTATAACACGAACAGAAAACACGTAAGTATATAAATAATATGTTGCCAGCAATTGAACAGTTGAAACTTCTATCCTGTTACAATTGTTTAATAATGGGTGATGAATTTATATTTGAAGGTAGTGCATTGGTGGTGGTTGGAATAAATGGGCTGGTAGCCAGCGTTTGTCAAGAACGATTACGGTAATGTTTTTGAATAAATGTTTTACATTTACCGCTGTGGTTGTGTAATGCGAGTATAAAACAGAGTTCTGCACACCTTAGTCCAGCTGCTTGAGAAGCGCTGCTGTTCGAGGCATCGGCGAGGTGCGACAGCTGCTCGGGGAAAGGGCAGCCGCTGCCGATTCCATTCGTATTGGCCAGTGGAACAGGGCTACTGCCATCAGCGATGTCATCTTCTGCAGAAATCGTAGACCGCGTGCCTTCTATACGCACTGCGAAAACAGGGGGAGGATTCATTTGAGCACGTGAAAAAACACATTCCTGCGGAGGGAGCTGGTAGGAACGTTGGGTTGCTCGCTCAATGGCCAGGGTCAACGGCGGCGTGGTGTATTCCGCAAATATGGCCGACTGTGAGGGTGGGCACAAGCCGGCGTGAGTAGGTTAAACGTTGAGTTTTTTAGGGCACCACGGGGGTGACCAACCCCTCCCCACCCAGCCCCACCCACACCCACCCCTCCCACCACCCACCCAGCCCCACCCTCCCCACCCAGCCCCTCCCCACCCTCTCCTCCCCACCCAGCCCGACCCCTCCCATTTTTGGATGCACGACGGACGGATGGACACAATAATCCCCTGTGGGCTGGTGGAACCAGGTGGTTCCTACCAGTAACAGTCCCAACTGATGTTGATAACGCGTAGCCTTCTCAGTGCAAGTCGAAATGAATATTCATTTACGTGGTATAAAATGCCCTATTCTTATCGTGGGAGCATCCATATGACAAGCATTGTAGACTTGTATTTGATTAACCGCAGCATTAACCCTGACCGAGATATTTATCTCACTACCGGTTATGAGACAAGCACTCTGCCACCAGTGCTACCCAAGCCAAGTATGTATAAGAATCTGAAACATTACATTCTGTGCATGATCTGCAATAATTTTTTTAAGTATAATAATTCACTTTCCAAATATTAAGTAAAATGCAATCCATTCTTCTCGCATTTTAACTAATGACGTTAAAAGGTTTTGAAGGATTATACTCATCCTCTGAAAAGTGGAAGTAGATCGTGATGTTATTTTTTCTCTTAATTAGTGAAGGTGAACCACATGATTCAGAAACTTTGTGTTAATCATGGCAAGCTGCGAGGCAGCTTTGCTCACATTGTGAGAGTACTGCTGCATTTCTCAGAGCTTATTTAATTTTGTATCTCACTCTAACACACTTTAAAAGACTGGAAAACGGCCAAAGCTATATAAACGCTTGTTAAGGTGAATAATTGGGTCGAGCAAATTTTTTAATCACACTTTTGGTTTTCGATGTCTTGAGGCATTGCCATGCATCGCAAAAAATGAGGTCTTTGTGAACACAAAGTATATTTTAAAATGCTGTAAATTTTACTTTCAGAGCAATAAATATATTCCAAAGCGATATTTTACTCTGTGTAGCTCTGATAATTTGGTTGTCCCACGTAGGTTTCACCACTCTGTGATCCACCCACAATGCTCTAGTAACGGACATTAAGCATTGTTCAAATCGACCTCTGTTGTAGCATGGATCACAAAAGGGGTATATTTGAGTAATGTCATTCTGTGGGTTAATTCGCACATAGCCTAAAATACATAACGCACTCGATATTATAAAACCATCAAATTAAATACTGTAATGAAATGTCCTGATAATAAAAAATGTCGGTAAACACGTTAATGCATGCAATCTGGAGTTATGTTTCAACGTCTTGTGGTTTGCATCACATACGTTGTTCACGATTACATAATTTCTATAAAGCCTGTGTGTGGATTAAGAAAAGTGTTTTGTCATTGAAATATAGTTTTTGTTTATTATTAAAAATTCCGAATGTAAGCTTTAAAACCCTGATGTTTTCAAAGCCTTTCTGATCCGTATGTTAATTTTATATCAGAATTGTTTCGCGCCAAATATAAAAGTCTTTAAAAAATGTGCGTGTTTTTCTACAGCAGCATTCTACTTTCATAACGATTTAAGTTCAAAGTAATTTTAGTACATTAGATGTCAACTTGAAAGTGCATCATTTTTACATGCTGTAAAGCACGCATTTTGCATCTGTGGAGATAATCACAATACAATTTTGAGCTGTGCTGCAGAGAATCTACAGACTACGTATGCAACAAAAGCACACTGACATCCTAGATATATTTCCTGTGCAGGTACACTGCACTCAATTTATGTCACTTACAATATATTTGACTAGATACAGTACTACTAACAAAGTCAAGGAAGGGCCTCAAATTACTACCTGCAAATAGCACACAAAGATTGCTTCCAGATAGGTCACATGTACTCACCTCCATATATAAATGAATTACGGTTTTTTTAGTCAAATACAGTGTGTTTTATATGGTCACTTTGTTTAACCATACACATTGCCATACACTTTATTTTTGCCTCACAGGTAACAGGCCTCATCTATAAAGAATATATTGGTCACAATGCTCACTTGCTTTGGTAGACATGAAACCGTGTTCTTACCTACAGCAGAGCCAATTCTTAACGACTTAACACAATTAAAGGATTAACTAGCTTAAATAGCAATTATGATCAAAGGCCTAAGCATTAGGGACAAATGTAGGTCCCATGTGTCTGGCTTACTGGAGTAAGATATTTATAAGCTCATGTATCTAACACCTTGGTTCAAATAATTGTTAAATACCAAGTGCCCGTTAAGGTTGCTTGCAATAATAAGATGCAAGTACATATGTAGAGGAGTAGTGCGAGCAACCATGAGAGGGCATACAGAGGGAGGTGCGAGCGCGTTGACAGCGGAGGATGACGTCATGCCACGGGTGCTGTAAGAGGGTACCTTCGGGAACAAAGGCGGGTCCGAGTTAGGGGGAGGAGCCACCCAAGGGGTATTTAAGGGGGACCCCGTGACGAGGGCGTGGCCGTTGTGGGAGCCCAGAGTAAGGATCGGCTGCAGGAGGTCTCTATCGCTCGTCGCCGGACGGTGTTGGCTGAACCCCCATCCGGGGCAGACGAGTGGGAGAGCCAAGGGGATATCTGAGAGTTGGGCTCCAAGTATTTAGTGAGGGTCGGCTGAGAGAGAGAGTGGGTTCTTCTCTCCTTGTTGCCGGGCAGTGTTGGACGAGCCCCGGCCCGAGTGAGAGAGCCCAAGGGATCGCCAAAGATAGGACGACAGTGTTCGGGGGTCCAGGTTAAGGACCAAGAATAGAGAGGACCTACCCCTGGTGTGAGCTTGAGTGCCGAATGTAAGTGGTTAATAAACGGCAACAGCTCTTATAGTAAATTCCATCTCCGCGTGGTTCTACTATACAACACATATGTAGTGTATCAATGCACAGACACTAGTAGGAGGTACTATTTTATTCCGGCCTTTACAGCCTTAGGGGATAACTACGTACCGGGTCATGACAGCCAAAATGCTGCCAGACCCAAAGCTTGAAGAGAGCAAAGATAACGACGACGAAGCAACACCGGATTCCCCTCCAGATCGCAACAGCCCCAACTGTGAGTCGGAGCTCTCCTTTTATCCTAACCAGTGTGGCCAGGCTCCGCCCTCGGCCCCCCGCACCCTTCTGGATCCCCCAGAGGGCTCCGTGCCTTGCCGACAGGTCCGACTGGTAGAACTGGCTGCTACCCCAAATCTCATTGTCTACCAATCTCCCAGCAGCACGCGCGACAGTGACTCATTCAATGTCACTACACATACAAAGCACCATGGCACAGCTGAATACACTCTGCTTCGAATGTGTGCATATCACCAGTGACTTAACAAATAGAGTTTATCATGCTGGTGAGGCTTAAATAGCTACGCTAAATGTAATGCCTCCTTTTGTGATGGGATGTCCCGCAAGAAATATGATGCGAACACGCAACACCACCAATATCAACGCAGGACATGTAATGCACCAAATCATACATCTGCAAAGCAACGCATCTGGACGGCGCATTCAAGAACCTCTTCAATTAAGACAATACAGACTCTAACAATAGGGCAATTATCTGATGTTTGATTAAACGTGATGAGTAGTACAGCACTGCTGCAAAGGGCAGACAAACGGTAAGTGCTGTGCCAACACAACACGAGCTGGCGCAACTGCTTCCTCGTGTGAGTGTAACTTAATAGCTCGAAATAATGAGGATCAAAACAGCCGCATAACCCCTTTCATGCCCACCTACTTGAATTTGCCGGGGCGCCTTGCACACGCTGTTTCGCAAATATTCTCGATGCGTACTCGCTGTCAGAGAGCGAGCGTCTGCCTGCTGAAACTAACAGTGGAGTGGGGTTCATCTCCATTGGGGGTCTTTAATAATCAATTTTATATCGCATAACTCATGCTAATTGCATCCCACAACGCTGTACATTAATAATTTAAGGGCCAAAACCCTATAGATATAGCTACTACCAAGCAAATTAAAAGCCTCAGAAAATAAAAAGAATAAACAATTTCCGAAATTTCACCAAAAACAAAAGGCACTACAGAACAACAAAGTTATCACAACAGAGAAATGAATCCAGTCACATCCCTGACCATGTATGTATGTTGAACTTCTTTCGCACCGTACATAGCCAACCGTGCTGATCGAAGGTGCGGACCAGTCCTCCGTTATAATCACCCATTCCCATGGCAGATCTCGTACACCTACCTGCCTTTCACTCTCTGTGGCCCTGCATATGACTACCACTGCTAAACACCCATGAAGTAGGTTTTCACATTTTTTCTGGAAACATAACAGGTGTTGAGATGTTAAAACACCAAACTGAATAGAATAGGAATAGGTTTTCCCCAGAAAAAAAGGGGAAAACCTATTCTCATATTTTGGTACTGGCAAAGGAGGTCCCATGATGACCCATGAAGTAGTACTGCACAGTAATACTTTTGTTTACCCTGGAGGAATGGTGGGCTGAGGAAGACCCATAACTAGCATTTGAACTTTTCAATACTCCAATTGTGAGTGTCACACTCTAGCTAACGTGTCACGTTCGTTCGATCCATGGGATGCAGTGACTTTCACATAAATAATTAAACAGCTCAATATGATTCGCCAATTATTCGGAATAAAAAAATATGTATATAAAAACAGGTGAAATCTATGCGACGGTCCATGAAATGCACATTTAGAAATGTTAAAAGTATAAATTGTTTGAAGCCTTTCCCAGAGTTAAGTCTGTGGTTTGCACGCGCAAAGGTCCAAAGTAACATGTGGAGATGGCGTGTTATGCTTATAAATACATCCTGCCGAACTGGTGGTGCAAATCTGAAAACGTTGGACTC